GAGACCCACGGGCTAAAAGACTCTTTGATGACCCCTTGGTCCTTCATTTCTTGAAGAATCTTTTCCACCTCAGCCCGCATCCCCAACGGAATCCTCCTTGGAGCTTGCTTAATCGGCCGAGGATCCTGCAGATTTATTTCGTGCTGAAGAACATCACAGTTCCCAGCCACGATNTGTTCAGAGAAGACATCCTGAAATTCAACCAAAACTTCGGCACAAACGCCCCTCTGTGCCTCATTCAAATCAACCGCATTCTTCTCAAAGAATTCTCTTAAAGTATCTGGAACCCCCCTGGCAGCGTCACACACCCGACCACAAAACACCTTCGCCTTTTCCGGGGGAGCAACAATAAGAGACTCCACTGTCCTGTCCAACCCCGTCTTCCTGAAGAAGTCAAGACCCAGGATACAGTCATCGAGTATATCCGCCACAAATAGAAGCATGCTTAAAGAATGTCCCCCTACAACCACTCGAGCCACACATTCTAACTGAACCGGAACTTCCTCACCGGTAGGATATTTCAACCTCGGGCTCTCTGTCAACTTTTGACATTGCGATTTCTCTACAAAATTAAAATTTACGATCGACACATCGAAGCCCGTATCAAATTTAAAATTACACGATTTACCATTCAAAAAACCAGAAAAAACAAACAAATTATTTTTCTTATTATTAATTTGTTTAACCAACAATACCCTTTCCGGGGTGTCCCACCCCATAGCCGAACCCACCCCTGGAAGCTCGACTAAGCTTCGTTTTCCGACAAATTAGCCGGACACTCATAACGGAAGTGCCCCTTCTTCCCGCACTTCCAGCACTCTCTTTCCTTCCGTCCACTATCCCCCCTCTGCTCTTGCCCCTTCTTCGTTCCGTTCTCCGACCTCCGCTCGCCGTTTTTCTTAAGATTATACAACGTCAGTGTTGCGAGATGCGGCACGCGGTATATGAAGATTTTCGACGATCGATCGCTTGGGCGTCTTTTTGTTCTGGTTTGCAACGGGGTTTGTTGACAGCGAGTTTCAGGAGAGTGAGCTGCCGGATTCGGAATCGTCGACAGACTGGAACATCGGCTCGAGATTCCTTTACGTTTTCCGCGACTTATTGTAACGCGTTTTTTAATAAAGATCTTGTGTTATACGCGGTGTTTCCTTTTCTTTCCGCGGAGCGCGACAACACGGCGGTAACGTGATCTAACGCGGCCGTGAGTGCAACATTAGCAACAATTTGGGGGCTCGTCCGGGATCTCGGACAAACGAAGAAAGAGAGAAGGAAGAAGAAGGAAGAAAGCTGATGATAAAAACGCAAGTCATGAGCACGGCGAAGTCGAAATGGAGAGGAAATTTTGCAGGTGAGTCCACTGCGCTCCAGACCGCGCTCGGCGGGGAACGAGTACTGCAAACGGAACGACGGCGAGGGAAGAGGATGTGTCGTCGTCAGAGCATGGAGTCCAAAGATTCTGCGTGGCTGCGAGGAGTGAAGTTTTGTCATGCAAATAAATTCCGGCGGAAAAAAAGGCGGCTGACCCGAATGTCAGGCGAGTCGTTAATAAATTTGTTTTTTGTTTGGGTGAGCAAACCAATGTGCGTGCTTGTCGCGCAGGATTTGGTTGGGTTTTCTGGGGCAAGTTCGGCTCTGTAAAGTTGAGCCGGGGATAATAGAAAAAATTCCTGAAAGATGTGGAAATTTGGTTTAAGAGCGACCACGAACGGTAAAAATGCTTTCTCTTCGGACCCCGTGACTGGGCGTGTTGCTTACTGTTGTTTCTTTTGGTCACATTTAAGTCTGATTCTTGTACGAATCGAATTTTTTTTGCCGGAATGAGTAGTTCCGTTGGCTCGGAGAGGATTATCTTTGGTTCTAATATAGAGTTATTTTCTGTCTTGTGCAAAGTTTCTAGGTTCTCGCCAGTTGGTACTTGGCGTTCTATTGGTGACTAAGACGTGGTGTTTTATTGTTTGTTTTCTAATTCTTAACAGTTGGAATAATTTCCTCAGGTTGAATGGTTCTAACGGTGAAGCGCCTTTGGTTCTCTGTTGAGAGAGTCCTAACCGTCCTGAGGTGGACAAAACTGATTTAGTTAAGTCGGAAATTAGGTCCTCTGAGAGATAGAGGCAGGGCACCGAGGTCGCGGGGCTTTTGAGTAGAGAAGTAATCAGATGACAGTAGTTATACGATTTGGTTCTTACAATGGAATTCTCTCTACAAGCATTCGGCTCAGTTTTTGTTTTACAGTTTTTNAGCTGTAAGTTTCCTGTTTTGTTTGTTTTTCTTTNCAGAATCTATTNCTTNNTTTTCCTGCTTTATCGAAGACGTCGANNGGTGGCGACGTTGTGTCACTCCGTGCCGTTTCATCACGTTTAGCTTTATTGTATTAGGGAAGACCGCCTNGCTCACGGTTTTCGATGCGTGGTTTCCCGTGGGCCGTTGGGCGAATACCGAGGCGGGGACTTGGGGTGCCTAATCCGAGACGAAGGGTCCACGCGTATTAACCCCCCCCTTGTCCGAAGATCGAAGTTTATAGCAAGGAATTGTTGAAGCCCCGAAGATGGAAGATACTCGAGAAGAGTCTCTTCGGCCGGTTAGCTTGAGATCCTGTGACAGCAGTCCAGGAGTGAGCGAGAAGACCGGATCTCCTTTCGTCGGGACGACGATCTAAAAGAGAAGGGAAGTAATGTTACGCGGCGGACACCGAGTGCGTGTCGCGGGAGCCGCGTGAACGTCGCGCGCTCGGCGCGATTGTTCGTTGCCGAGCGATGGGTTTGTTTAGAGAAATTCTGAGCTGGGAGCTGTCACGGCGTACCACAACGAGATTTGTATTGCGCGTTCTTTCTGTATTTCTTTGTGAATAAAGTGCTTTGTTAAAAAGCCGCGTGTTCTCCTTTTGCCGCAAGCGCGTGCGCGATTTCCGGAGTCTGGCAAAAACGTTGTTTCGTCGTCGCGAGTGTAACAGTATGTATACTTACTTGCAGTAGCTAGTATTCTTTTGACATCATATAAAGGCCAACTGTTTTCATATGATATGCGTTTTTGTACAGCTTTCGTAAATCTTGCATGTGAAGTAAATTGAGGCCAACGAGCAGCAGTTTTATTTTCAGTTAGCCAAGAACTAGGGATCATTTGAAGACCATCTTCAAATTCAACAATAGAGTATACTTCTTCCATGATAGAATTTGAACTAAACGACGATATATATATATGTATATATATATTTATTTATTAGTGCAATAATGGAAAAACTGCAAACTTATTATTGTGTAATGGTAGTTTAACATATTTTGTTTTAATATTTTCTATTGGCCATATCTTCAATTCTGATAAGTTATATACAGTAAATATTCCTATAAGAGATGAAGAACAAGGAATATCATATAAATCTTCCTTATGACAGAATTGATTGCCTATAATGACATTCATGTTAAGTTCTTTATGATAAACTATGTTTTTTACTTCAACAATGCTTCCATCTGTTAAGCCGCAACAAATATCTGCCAATGTATCAATGCGCACTGTTGTATTTAAACATCATACTATTTTATATTGTGGATTACAACAACCTTCTACTAAAGGTCCATTTATATGAGTAGATTCGAAGTCTACTGTAAAATGAGATAACGTTTTTCCAAAAAAACTTTTTGTTTTGTTGATATTACATTGTTCATGTTAAAGATATCTCCGAACAACTTGTTGTAGTGGTTTGTCACGCTTTTTTAGTAACTTTTTTAAACTTTGTAAATAATTTTTATATTTGAAAGAGCTAAAACAATCTAATGGACCAAACTTTTTAACATCTTGTACCAGATGAATAAGTCCATGTACATTATGGGAAATATTGTAAGCACCATATAACAATGCAAATGATGATACAAAATATTGAAGCAGTTCTTGAGCATACTCAATTAAATTTTGAAATTGCAAAGAGCATAGAATTCTATTTGCCACATGTAAAGTTAAAAAATGATAATATAAATTTTTTTTAAGAAATGGTTTTAAAGTTACAGGGCCAATATATAACAAAAAGTTTCGGAATTCAGTGGCTTTCCATAATTTCACAAAAACAAGTGATCTTGTCTTACGTACAAATTCACATGGTACGTATAACTTTAATACATGCTCTAATTGCAATGATATTGCTTCAACTTTTCTGCACTGTAAACGAACTTTAAGTTCTCCAAATAACCACATGTATAATAATTTTCGTGTAACTCCTAAACAAATAAGATGCATATAATCCAAAGGTATATTACGTACAAGATCCAAATTTGGAATCTCTACGATAATTGAATGTCCAACATGATAATTTTCATCTTTTCTTAAACGAAAATCTTTATCTGTTCGTAGTTTAGCACTTATTTCAGAAAAACACATTTTACCATTTATATAACTACCTTCGGTAATACATTTTGTACAACTGGGATAACCATTATGTCCTTTTACTTGTAATATAAATGATTTTGCTGGTGCGTCANATATTATTGTATCTATTGTACATGGAATATTTTTATTATTAATAGTAATGCNATCCTTGCATAATATTTTTGCATCATCCACAAATTTTCTAAGAAACTCATTTGGATCAGATGGTTTTTGTGTACCATAGTAAATACCAATAATGAATACTTCTTTAGACTCAGTTATAGATCCCAAGATGGGCCAAAATTGTTGTTGCGAAGATTTAGATAATGGCAATCCATCAATATTTATAGATAATTTGATATTATTTATATTTTGTAAACTTGATGATGCAATGCTTAATATTGCTTTTGCTAATCCAAAATGATAATATTGACCACCAGCACAAACCTCTGTGATAGTATTTCGAGGAGTACGTACAAGACTTCTTGGATCAAATGGAAGTTTAAAATGACAATTTTTGCATGTATATTGTTTTATACCTTCTAATAAAGAACGTAATGATGATTGCGGAATGCGTTCTTTCACAGCCCAAGTAGTTAAAAACTTTTTGAAATTAATAGTTTGATCTGATTTTTTTGAGTTATCTGATTCGCTGNTCGATTCTCTATTAAAATTGTTATCTAATTTATTATTTAATATCCCCCCGAATGGGTTCCCACCTTGTAGTAGCTCCGAGGCGGGAGCTCGGGGCTCGCGGAGCGCTCGGTGCGCACGTGGTCTGGCCGCCTCGCAGCAACTACATAGAACGTTTATTTTGTTCTTAGCAGGTGTGCTGGTGGGGGCATAGCCGGGCATTGATCGTCGGCTTCCAAGTGGATATGCCGGCGGATCTGTCCGGTCGTGTCGCCACATTGAAAGTGGAAGCTGACGGGACAAACATTGACCACAGTAGGTGAGCATCTGGTGTCCTCGGGGGCTTTGGGCTCTCGCGCCGGAGCGGGTGGTGGGGCTT